ATATTTTGTTAAGTAGAAAATATCCTATCCCTGGTTATTAACCCATGCTAAATCTTATAATTTTGCCAGGGCAAGGTTTGTAAAAAGTCCTATTTGTAGCCAGGCTGGGACCCCAGTCACTTAGTACATGTTCTAAAGGACATGCAGGTCAATATTGTTGGACACTTACAATGTGCCCAAAATAAACTATGTAACAGCGTGCAACATTGACATAATACATATTAAAAATTAACTAAGCCTTTTTTTATTTATACAGGCCATATATTTATATAAATATGCCTATTAATTACTTTGTGCTGTGCAACATCATGACCATCATATTCATTGATCATCATCGTCTAATTATTTAGAACTTCCAATTTATGCTGTTTTTTTAAATACAAACAATTTTAAGCATCCTCAGCAAACATTGTATAGCCGAATTTCAATGAATCTATATAAGCATTTTTAGCAGTCCACTGCAGTTTTGCTTAAGGGTTACATAGTGGACAATTAGTGGCAGCTGCCAAAAGTGGCTAGCCGATGACTAGCCACTATTAACATGAAAGAAAGTTATTAGCTGGCGAATTATAGCGGTTGATACAAATGGTCCAATAAGTTAAAGATGAGCAAAATTCCAATGAAAGGCTCGAAAAAATGAAGAAAAATATGAAAAAATTAGAGAGTTACATAAAAGTATGAAAAAGGTCACAAGCTTTTTCATATCATATATAACTCTCTCTAAATTTTTAAACTTCTTCCTCTACCTTTTTCTATCAAATATTTTATACCTAAATCATCTGCATCTTCATTGCTCGATATACCTAAACCACCTTAATCACATAAATCGTCTCTGAAAAAACTTGTTCTCACTACTGTTCACACTCACTATCCCTAATCTCTGTCTAAAACTATGGCTTCTTTTCTTGTCTTGTTAGAGACACATCACACATCCATCTGATCATTATCTTTGCATTTTTTGGTAGAATGTTTTATTCTCTAAATTTTAAAGATTATGAAAGTTATCCCTCAATAAACGTATGTGCACCATGTGTAAAGCTTTTTTGCACCTTTATTTTTAGTGATTTAATTTGGTTCACACTATATTGATTACACCAGGTAAACTATACTTCTGTGTGTTATACAGTTTTTTAAAGTTATACAGTGTGTTATACAGTTTTTTTTTTTTAATTTTTTTAAAGATTACGAAAGTTATCCCTCAAAAAATGTATGTACACCATCAATGTAAAGCTTTTTTGCATTTTTTTTTTGGTGATTTAATTTGGAGTTTACACTATGTTGATTGCACCAGGTAAACTATACTTCTGTGTGTTATACAGTTTTTTGTATTTAATGTGATTTATTTTTAAAATGCAAGTAATAACATAAACTTATCTTACAAATTGTTGTAAGAATCAGGCCTTGTTTTAAATAAAAAAGGTTTAACACAATGTCTTATTGTGAGTTTGACATCATCTTTTTTAACTAGAACAACATATTAAATAACCACAAAATGAGTTCAATTGAAAAATAAAATTTATTATGTAGACATTTTATGAAATGTATTTTATTTTGTAATATTATTTAACTAAATTAAATATTACTTTTTAAAAATATTTACTTTCTTTCTTTTCTCGATATTCGTATAAAAAAAGTTTACTTTTTTTATATTTCTATTTCTTAAATTTGAAATTACGGCTTTGCAACTAATAATGATTTCTTACTTTAAAAAAGATAGTGGTTAACCAATAAAAAATATGCAAAAATAAAAAATTTATTTAATCATTTTACTTAAACAATTACTTTAGGTTTCCAAGTACCATTTATTAAGAAGTGTTTATCTTTGCATTTTCATTTGCTTTATAAAAAAAAAGTTTACCATAAATTAAAAAAAAAACTTTGAGGCACAGTTAGAACACGTTTACAAGGAATTTAATTTTTAATAAAAAAAAAAAAAAAAAAAAAAAAAAAAAAGAATTGCGGTAAAAAAATTAACTAATTTTTTTTTTGAAAGTAAAATTTTATAATCAACTGATATTTAGTAATATTTTTAAATAAAATTGAAATAGAAATTAAACTTAAATTTTTTAATTTTACTTGAATTTATTTTATTTGCAAATAACACTTATATCAAACATAATTATCATTCAAACTTTTTGATATAACCAACATTTAAATGTTTGAGTTGTTTTAATAACACTACTTCTTTTATCTTACCGCCTAAAACTTCATTTTATATAGGTAATTTTAATTCTATCCTAATTAATCCTTATAAATTTTGAACAAATTATTTAAACTGTCACTGTAAAAATGAAAGTAATTTTAAGTTGATTTCTGTCTATTTTACTAGGTATTTTTTAAAAAAAAGAAGCAGTCAATAAAGAAATCAAAGTGTTCCAATTTAAGAAACCAGTTGCATTGCATGGAGCAAAATAGTGCCTTGATAAAACCAAATTTATTTCCTATAACTGCACAATTAATCAAGTCAAATTATGCTTAAAAAAATAAGTTGTCTGTTTGTAGTAATCAAATCATAAATGTTTTATAGTTAAACCATATTTTGTTAAAAATATTTATTCCTTTGTTGTTTCAATTTTGGCAACTCTTCCCTAATAATATTTCTATAAATATATAAATGTATCAGATGCTAGCATTTAAATAAGCAAACATATATGTTTATATCCATATTAATTCAAATTATTTATTTATTTACTAACTATTAAATTATTAAATACATATATCTACGACTTATTTAAATAAATAGTAAATATATGTTAAAATTTATAATATATAATTTATTATAAATTTTTTCCTAACCTCGGTTATCAACCCCTGTTGATCCTAATAATTTTGCTGGCATCTGGTTAGTAAAAAGTTACATATTTATCCTGGGCTGTTGTAGTGGTTAATCACTAGCCTCAAGTTATTTCTTATCTATATAATTGATAATCCTTATGATTACTTTCTCTCAAAAGTGGCTCTTTTTGCTGATATTGACAGCCACACAATGGTCACAAATGTTTGTAAATAATTCAAAAATTCTAATTTTTAAAAACAAACAATAATCAATTTTTATGAAAAAGTATACTTGGAATAATTTTTTTCTAGGGTACTTAATTATTATTTTTTGTCCCATTAAAGGAGCTAGGGCAGAAATTAAATTATAGAAACTATTTAAAAAAAAGTTCTTTAAAAAAATATGTTCAAAAGAAGTGAAATTTCATAAAACATCCAAAAACATTTTATATAAATAAAATGATTATTGTTTTTTGATAAATTATGAAAGTTAAATAAAAATTTTATATAAATTACTAGTTTAAATTTTATGGTTTAAAAGCTATCCTTTTTAAACAAAAAATAAAAAAGCACATATTTTCATAGTTTTTTTAAATAAACTTTTTTAATTTGTGTTTTCATAAATTTTTTATATTATTTTTAAAATTTTTATAAAACTCCACTTCTTTTGAGACCCAACATGATATGCGTTTAAAGAACTTTTTTTTTCAAAATATTATGTCTGATATTTAACAGTCTTGAGTGACCCCTACACATTTTTTCATTCAAAAATTCTATTAATGTAGTATTAATTTATTACATAGAACACATATAGGTTGTACCATTAAACATTTTCAAAAAAATGTTGTTTTTAGAACCACCCTAATTTCTGGTCTTTGTCCAACTCTGTCCAATTCTGTAAAAACTTCAAAGTATTGATTAAGAATCACATAACCATTTATGCTTAAAATCACACCCCCTACATCCCCTTTCAAAGTTAAAAACTCGTTGGCAACCCTGAAGTGTGCTGCAATTTTACGCACGTTGCCATAATTTTCACAGAAAAATTAAAAACTAAGATAAAAATTTGCAAGGACATAACTTTTGATTAGGATATTGCACAAAAAAAGTTGGGTACTCTTGTTTAAAACTGTTTTTAAAAATGCAAAATTTTGAAAAACATTTGGTAAAAATGATCATGTCAATTACATAGCTTAATTTTTAAGCTTTCCAATGAATACCCATGGGTATATTAATGAACACACATGGGTATATTAAGCTTTCTAATGAACTCAAAAAATTAGTATTTTTGAATTGTTTCGCATTTTTAAGTATTTCTGACCAATGTGAGCCAATCTTGAATACATTTATATAATTGTAAATGACAACACTTTTATTTTATTATGCGGTAGTGGTGTAGTGGTAGAGCGCTTGTTTCATAAACGAGTGGTTCCGAGTTCGATCCCCACCACGTCTCTGGTAGTACCGCGCTAAACTCGTTTCTCTGCGCAGCGGCCTTGTTCGTCAAGGTTCGTGTTTCAGAGTTATAGAGTTGAGAAAGGGGTTATAGCCACAAAATAAGTAGCCTCCTCGTCTGTAGTGGTCTTATCGACCTTGAGGAGGTGAAGAAAAATAAAATTAAAAAAAAAAACACTTTTTAGATCTTAACTTCATTTCTTGTTTGATTATCTTCTACTAATGACCTCTGATAGAAACCATACATGTTTTAGCTGCCAAGCTAAGCCTCTATCCCTTAATTATAACTTTTATGGTATTACAACAATGGCTGCTCAAGCAAGCTATCACATGCTTTCTACCAACTAAAACACAATCCAATGTGTCACATCCTTTTATTGTAACTGTTTTTTCATGCTGAAAAAATTTTTTAAATCTATTTTTTTGCCTCAAACATCAATATATAAGAGTTACCTTCTGTTTTAGTATTTTTTGAATCTGAAACTCCTAGCCTAATAATGGTTCCCAGTGTCCATGAAAATTTATATATATTGTGATTGCAACACAGAAGGTTTATAAACTACAAATTCTTTTTAATATATATAAATACAAGTTTTTGTTTTTCCTCATTTAAGTATTTAAATAAATTAAAAAACATCTCCTGTTATGTATTAGGTACATAAAAATAATATAAAAAAATATTTAGTCCAGCTTAATCAATTAAAACTTTAATTATAAGATGTTTTATATTAGTTATTAATATAGTTTTTTGAACAAAATAACTTTAATACCTGAATTTGTTTTAGACACAACTTTATTGACTCTTATCCGAGTTTGAAGATCCATGGTTAATCAAAAATTTCCGTTCCAAAAAAACTAATAAATAAATATTGCATTATTATACATACTACATTATTAATTATTGTACATACATATATAAAAAGATTCATAAAAATACATACATACATATGTATGTAAAAATTATTCATGAAAATATATATATAGTAGTTTTTTAAGAGAGCTAACAGACCAGACTAGAAAAATTTTAAAAACTTAAATAATTATTTTTTTCTTAAATGATAGACTGCCTGCCCTAACCAAACCTTCAGCCAATGAGCAACACTTCGATGCGAGTCAGGCTATAAGATATTTGATGTAGCAAAACACTCCCTTGTAGCAGCAGGCTATAAAATAGTTGATATAGCAACATTTCGTGCATGTTTTTATTTTTTTTTTTAATTTTTAAAAAACAAAAGCGTTATTAAATAAAAAACTTTATAGTCATATTTATTGTGGTTTTTAAAAAAACAATAAAACTTAATGCACTTCCACATTATTTTAATTGCTTTGACTTTTAGACAAGAATGTAGATTATTTGTTCAGATAGCGTAATTATTGTTAAAAAAGACTTTTTTATCATTAAAGTTTCTTTTGACTACAAGATAAGGATATATATACATATATACATATATATATATATATATATATATATATATATATATATATATATATATATATATATATATATATATATATATATATATATATATATATATATATATATATGTATATATATATATATATATATATATATATATATATATATATAAATATATATATATGTATATATGTATATATATATATATATATATATATATATATATTATATATATATATATATATATATATATATATAATAACTTATTTAAATACCTAGTACCCAGCTACAAGCTTTGACAGGAATGGTGTGCGATCAAGAGCTACTGACCGCGCAAATGATTTTATTTTTTGACAACTTGACTATGATTGTTTATATGTTGTGATTTAAAAATTTCAGAAATGCTCTGAATGCTCTTTCCTAGTTTAAGTTTAGCTAAGGTAAACTTAAAGTAGGAAAAAAAAAAAAAAAAAAAACTAACAAAAAAAAATTCCTAAAGAAAAAAGAAACGAAAAACAAACTTGTCATAAAAAAGAAACCATAAAAGCACTAAAATAAAAATGAAAACTTAAACTCTAAACAAAACTTTTTTTTAAGTTTTTAATTACGTATGAAATAAATGTTATTAAAGCTTATCTTTTTAAACGCTTAAAGTTACGCAAAACATTTTTAAATTAAGTAACAAATTACTGCTAATGATTGTTTAATAAATGAACAAATGTTATTAAACTTATTAAAAAGTATTGTACATAATATTTTTAAATTGTATTAATATTTATTTTTTCAAAAAAGTAGCAAAAAAAAATTGTTTAAAAAAATAACATAGTCTTTTTAAAACAGTAATTTTTAATAATTTCATGCTCTAATTAGTAAGTCTAATTAAAAAAAAGATTTTCAACTTTTTTATTTGAAAAAAGAAAAAGAAAAAAAGAAAATAATAAAATGCGCCTGCGATTTAAATAAAATAAACTGCCATTAACCATTTTAATTTAATTTTGATTTAAGCATTATAACTTTATTAATAAGCGCTTCACATAAAGAATTTAAAAATTATTATAAAAGATTTAAACTCATTTCTTCCTATCAAAATTAAAAGAATTTTTTTTTTTTCCATTTTATTCAAAACATTTGAAAAAATCGCAAGTTTAATTATAAAAATTAATCTTGAAAAAGTTTTTTTTTAAAAATTAATCTTGAAAAAGCATTTTGTAATGTATGAACATTACATTGCTTTAAAATTTTTTCAATAATCAACAAAATACTTTCTTATATAAGTAAATAAAGTTATTTTATATTCTTGTATAATTCGCATAAAATGTATAAAAGCTAGTAGTCACAAAAGCTTTTGAACTTATTTATAAATTAAAGTAACTTAAAAAAATTCTTTCTAAAAATTGTAAATTATTTCAAAAAAGAAGGATTTGCATGAAGTACAATATATGATAATCTAAAAAGACTTGAAACTGTTTAATTCTTTTCTGATAGAAAACGCCCTGGATGTCCAACTAGACTAGAGAAAAGAATACTGAATTTACTAGACTTGTCAACAATTAAAATGGGGTCAGTCAGAGAAAAATTTGGTTTTAAATTTGTTGTAAATCAATTGAGAAATTATCTTCAGTTATAATAAAAAATGATTATTAAGTATAGAAAACATGAAAAGATTCCAAAATACACTATAGAACAACAATTAAAAGGCAAAAAAAAAAAAGCAGGAAACTAGTTAACCAACTTTATAACACAAAATTCCTTCAAGTCATCAATGACAAAAAATACTTTTGTCTTTGCAGGAGACAACATGTCTGAAAATTCTGGATACTACACAAACAGCAAAAAAACATGCCCAGAAAGTGTTCGTTTTATAGAAAAAGACAGTAGCAATTAATTCATCGATCTATATTCCAAGGCAGTGGCAATTATGTTATCGATCTATATTGATAAATGTTTAGAAAAACAACTTCTTCCATTCATTCACAAGTACCATGGAGACTTTAACTATTTATTTCAGCCAGATTTAGAAAGTTCTCATTATTCGAAAGATTCTCTAAATTGGATGGACCAATATGTCTATTACATTGATAAAGAATCCAATTACCCAAATGTGCCTCAAACATAACTAATTGAAAACTTTTGGGGATACTTGCCACAAAAAGTTTACAAGGAAGATTGGCAAGGTTTAACACAGCAAGTGGTTTGATTGATTTACATTAACAAACAGAGAAAATAAAAAACTGACATCAAAGCACTGTTTGATCCTGACAGAAAAAAGTCAAAGACAAAAAAGATATCAATCATTGTTTAAACCAACATTCCATAAAGCCTTTACTCAGCACTGAAATTTAATGCCAGAGTTCAAAACAAAAACTTCAACTATATATTCTGTTGACAGCAGAACCCTATTTATTAATTCAAGAAGCCACTGTACTGTGAAGCTCAGATAAATAAAAACTACCTGGAGTCGACCAGTTGCATCCTTTTGTTCTTCCAGATTGTCATAAGAACTTTTCCACTATCATATATATTTATAAAATCTTTTAAAACAGGTATTGTTCCTTAGCTCTGAAAAGATGCTATTATCTCACCCATCTTTAAAAAAAGATGTGAACTCGAACCAATAAATTACCGCCTAATCTTGTTGACTTCGATTACAGGTAAGATCATGAAGAGATTAGTGAGAGAAGACATAACACCTTACTAACCTCAAACTTTCTTTTCAACAACATACATATATATGTTATATATATATATATATATATATATATATATATATATATATATATATATATATATATATATATATATATATATATATATATATATATATATATATATATTTATATATATATATATATATATATATATATATATATATATATATATATATATATATATATATATATATATATATATATATATATATATATATATATATATATATATATATATATATATATATATATATATATATATATATATATATATATATATATATTATATACATATATATATATGAGGGCAACCAACCATTGTTCATTTTTACTGAAAAAATGAACAATGGTTTGTTGTCCTCATCTAGCAGGTCTCAAAAATGGTCTGAGGTGCGGCGATGTCCGGCACTTATTTCGACCCCTGTATATAACATATATATATATATATGTATATAATATATATATAACATATATATGTATGTTGATATATATATATATATATATATATATATATATATATATATATATATATATATATATATATATATATATATATATATATATAAATATATATACATATATATATATATATATATATAAATATATAATATATATATATATATATATATATATATATATATATATATATATATATATATATATATATATGTATATATTATATATATATATATATTTTATATATATATATATATATATATATATATATATATATATATATATATATATATATATATATATATATATATATATATATATATATATATATATACTATCAACGATAGGTTATCCCAGAATTCTTCTGACAAAAAAATATTCAACTCGGCAAGGGAAGAATATGACGAAGCCCTAAAAAGAAATGGGCTCAAAGATTTTAGCTTCAAATACAACCCTAAAATTAGTACCAAAGTAACCCCCAATCGTAAAAGAAAAAGAAATATAATCTGGTTTAACCCACCATACAATAAAAACGTTCTCACAAATATAGGCAAAACCTTCTTACAATTAATCAACAAACACTTTCCAAAACCAAATCCGCTTCATTTAACTTTTTAACCGTAACACAACAACTTCATTCAACTATTTAACCGTAACACAACAAAAGTCAGCTACAGCTGTACAAGCAACATAGCAAAAATTATAAAGAACCACAACAATAAAATTATTTCGATGAACCCAACGGCCACTTTAGCTTGCAATTGTAAACTAAGCAAAATCTGCCCTATGAATAGAAATTGCAGAAAAACAAATGTAATTTATAAGTGCATTGCATCATTCCCAAATACATCCGACAAAACATACATTGGTTCAACAGAGGGCATGTGGAAAACTAGATGGGCGAATCACAAGCAATCCTTCAAAAATAAAAAACTCACAAATGCAACCACGCTTTCTAAATATATATGGGATACACAAAATAAAACAAAAACAACACCCAATTTAAAATGGTCCATCATAAAATATGCCCCCGTGTACAACAACATAACCAAAAAATTCTTGTTATGCTTATACGAAAAACTAATTATTTTATTGTATAAAAATCCTCAAGAATTATTAAACAAAAAAAAACGAACTAATATCTAAATGTCGCCATGAGAACAAGTTTTTGCTGGACAACCACAAACCAAAAGATTAGGTTTTTTAACTCATTTTCTTTTGTAAAGATTTATTATTTTTACGAGAAAAAAAACATATTTACACCTGATGATTGCATTTAGCATGAAACTAATAGTTGTGAAAAATATGCAGTTTTATTTATAAATAATATATGTAAATACAGCTCTGTTTTAATTTAAATCATTTTAATTTACTTTAATTCATCGAGCACTCTTGCGAGGATATATGCAAGCACTAATAAGTATACATATATATATATATATATATATATATATATATATATATATATATATATATATATATATATATATATTTATATATATATATGTGTGTGTATATATATTTATATATATATATATATATATATATATATATATATATATATATATATATATATATATATATATATATATATATATATATATATATATATATATGTATATATATATATATATATATATATATATATATATATATATGTATATATATATATATGTATATATATATATATATATATTTATATATATATATATATATATTATATATATATATATATATATATATTATATATATATATATATATACATATATATATATATATATATATATATATATATACATATATATATATATATATAAATATATATATATATATATATATATATATATATATATATATATATATATATATATATATATATATATATATATATATATATATATATATATATATGCATATATATGCGTATATGTAATAACACATACATGTTATATCGCATTCTACATAAAACAAAAATGTTTAAAAAAATAAAATTTAAATAGAAATTTACAAATTATCTTTGTATGTCATTTGAAATTCATTAATGCGACATTGATATTTAAAGCTTGTCGAATTTCCCGCATTTTGCAAGGTGACTACCGGCATAACAATGCCGTCTACAGAAAGTAGACAACGAAGACGTTACCTTACTTATTTTTAATGATCGTAGCATTCAGATAGTAAACGATTTAAAGTATTCTATTTGTATTATGATAAAAAAGATTTATTTGTTTTTTAAATCATCAAAAGAAATAAACTTCTTGATTTATAATTCGAATATTAATCCAGTCAGATTTCCAGCCCTAAACGTGCATATATACGCTTGTTTATCATCTTGGGGTATTAGCTCTATCCATCTAAAAACTTTAAAATTGTTACAACCTCTTGTTCATTAAATTTTTGGTACTTATTAAACTTTGAATTTCATCTCAATTTTTGGCTGCGCTAATTCCTTCATTTAAGAAAAAGTTTACTCTTCAATTTGCTGTTTTAAATTAATGTTATTTAGGTGCCCCAAGAAGACCTAACGGTTTTGTCACAGAGCACCGCAAAAGTGCATTTAACCAGGAGGTTCACGCTTCCTTCCTTACCGTGACGCAAAAATATGTCCAGAACTCGATTCGAACCTGAATCTCCTGCTTAGCTGCAAGTGCTCTAACTACTGCCCCATGGCCGCATTTATTTCACCGCTCTCGAAAAGGTCATTGTTTCCAGTGTCTCTTTGACTTCAGTTCCTTGGACTAATACCACTAGTGGAGTTCCACAAGGGCCTGTGTTCAGATCATTTTTCTTTGCCATGGTAATCACCGGTATTTCGGTCCTTGAATAATCTAGAAGTTTCTTAAATTTGTACGCCGATGACACTTCATTATAATATCATGTCGGACGCAATGATTCCAATAATTCGCAGGAAAAATTTAATAATTTGCTAAGTTGGTCCTTCCTAATTAAATATGGAAAATTTATCTAGTCCTGAGATTATATGGTTTATGCTTAGCACATGTTTTGCGATATTTCTAGTTCTCAATTCATGAAATTTTTTGTAGCAATCATATGTAACCGCCCATGTTCAAATCAACTCTCAAAACGTCTTGAAGACATCTACCTCAGAATAATCAAAAAAGTTTGGCTATTGTTTTTAGTCAGGCCTCTAGTGTGAAATCTTGGGAATTTTAAACATAGACGTGTTTTAGAGTGTAACAACATTTACTCTTTGAAGGTTGCTAAAGGTTGGTATTTCTAGGAAGCTTTATTATCTCTAATTACACGCAGCAAAAAATACACATAGAGTTGGTAATATGCTGAAAAATAAAAAATTATTAATTAAGACGTTCTTTTTCATTTTTTTTTTTTTCATTTCTAATTAATTAGGTGTTCCAAAAAGTCCTTGCGATCATAGTACAAAGTTCTGTGTAAAGTATCAGATCTCAATTTCCATTTCTGAAGCTAGAATTCTTACTTTTACACCACAGCTGAATAATATGTAAAAACATAAATCAAAACAAGATAATTAAAATAAATATAAAAGACGATTCCACCGCGTTACACTTTTATAAAATATTTAAAATGGGTTTAAAATCAATTAAAAGATCTAATAATCAATACCTGCTTTCATATGAGCAACATCAGCAAGGAAGGCGGCAACATCTTCATAGATACCAACATACCTATTAATGGTGCTCTTTAGCAAAATCTTTTGGACTTCTTGGAAAAGAAAAAAGAGAAAATAGTTTAGTAGCATTAACGAGTTACATTATATAAATCATCAAAATTGACTTCAATCACTTGGAAACTTAAAACCTTCCAATGGTTAAAATATTTATTTAAGTTAAATATTTAAAAACTCCAACAATAAGTTATTAGTATTTCAATAATTAAGTAATTTGTTTCAACAATTTATTCCCGTTTCTTTTTCGCGACAACCTTTGTATTCGTTTGACTTAACGTCACCTTCTGCTTCACATTCATCGTTATCTTGAATGATGTTGAGAAGATATTGATGATTACAGATATCAGTACTGTCTCAAGACAGCATAAAACTTAGAATTGAAAATGCTAAACTGGTTGATTGACTAGACAAGCTTGAAACCAACCTAGTTCAAACATCTGTAGCAAGTAAGTTATTCTCAGCGGTTGTATTAGATGCAGCTCGATCCATCAATCTAAATGAAGGCAGCATTTTAAATGCAATTAATAAAGAGACAAAGGATTAAACAAACAAAGAAAGAAATGTAATAGTGCTTGGGATTTCAAAATCAACCAAAGCAATGGAAATAGTTTAAAAAAATGACGACAAGAAGGAAATAAAATCAGTATTTAATGTTTGAATTTTAAAAATAGCAAGATCACATCTTCATACATAGTCCAATGATTATTGAATTAGAGAGCACAGTATACCAAGCAATAATATTAAAAGCATCAAAAAAATTAAAAAACAGTGTACGAACGCTCAGTATAGAATAATCCTGATTCGTTGAGTGTGTATCAACACTCAACGAATTGTACGAAAACAAGTAGAGGATAAGTGAAACCATCTAAATGCTGCACAAATCGACATGTCAACTTTTAACATTATCCGAAATGGAGCAATAGCTATAAGTATCAACTATAGGTACGGCAGTCACAACAGTTTTAACAAAGGGCCAATCAACTCCAACAAATTCTAACACTTCATCTGCAATAGCTGGAGCAAGTCAAAAAATTACAAATGCATAACAACCACAGCATAAGCTATTCTATTCACCAACATCATGTTTAAAATTATGGCATACTAACGCCACTTCCCTGAAAAAAAGACACCAATTAGAGTCTCAAACACAGGTGGATAATGCGGACATTATTATGATAATAGAGACATGGTTTAATGAGTCATCAATAATAAATTTAGACGATTATATATGCTACAAAAAAAATAGATCAATAGGTATTTGTAGAGGGACTGCAATCTATGTAAAAGAATCTATTATAACCACAGGTGACTGTTACATGAGTACATGCAAAAAAACTGTTGAACAAGTGTGGTGTAGTGCCAAGCTATTAGCTGAGGACCACATACTGCTGGGATGTTTTTATAGGCCACCAAGTAGAACACCTGAATTAAACGCAAGATTAAACCAAATCATAGAAGAAGCCAAAAATTTAGTGGATAACAAAAAGTTCACTGGTATGTTTATAGCTGGAAACTTCAACTACCTACAAACTTTGAATGGTTTGAAAATCTGTGCGTTAGTGTTAAAGGCAACTGTCATCAAAGTTTAAACTTTGTCAACAATTTAAACAAAAATTATCTCCACCAGTGCGTGTCTAAACCAACATTTCCGATTGAGGAGTGTCTGATGGAGATACAGCGCTTCCGAAATTTGATAAAGTAACAAATGAAGACATTAACTGGGACTCAAGGAGTGCTTTAGGTTCAGAGAACGTAAAAAATAAACTAAAATAATTGGACGAAAACAAAGTAATGGGCATTGATATGGTTAGTCCGTATATACTTAAGCAATTTGCGTCAACACTCTCAAAACCTCTAGCAATTATATTCAGCCTTACAATTGAGTCGGGCATAATACCAAATTGTTAGATTGTTAATGGGGTTATGTTAGTGAAACAAACATAACCCCTTTGTTCAAGAAGGGCACTTCATATGTTGCGTTAAACTACAGACCAGTATCTTTAACGTCAGTTTCATGCAAAATTTTGGAAGGATTTATTCGTGTAACAACCACTGACTATTTGCAACAACATGATGCTCTATTGCAACACCAGCAAGGTTTTGTGAAGAAAAGGCCTTATGTAACCAACTTACTGGAAACAATGGATTTTTTGACAACATACATGGAGTGCAAGTGTCCAACTGACATAGCATACCTCGATTTCAGCAAGGCCTTGGATAAGGTACCACGCAATGGGTTGTTATTTATGTGTGGAGCATATGGGATATCAAGTGTTTAGATGAGATGGATTGAGGTTTTTTTAACCAATCGTAGGCAACGCGTTGTAATGGTAGAGGTTTCATCGTCATGGTTGAATATACTCAGTGGTGATACTCAGGGATCTGTTCTTAGGCCTCTTTTGTTTTTAATTTCATCAACGACATACAAGAAAGACTACAATGTATATGCAAACTTTATGCTGACGATAGCAAGTTAATGAAACCGACAAAAAACATTTTGGATACAATCAGTTGGCAAAACGATATCAACAAGTTAGTTGAATGGACAAATACATGGTTTAAAGAGAAGTGCAATGTTATTCACATTGGAAAAAGAACCCTTAGACCATCTATACAATTACAGAAAATGATGTTGAGTACAAACTAGGTAAAACAACATTAAAACGCGATCTCGGCGAGTTGATCTCATCAGATATCAAATAGCATCATCAAGTTAACGCAGCAGCAGCAAAAACGCAGAATGTACTCAGAGTCATCAAGGGTACCTTCACTCGTTTAAATTCATACTCTGTTCAAAGTGCTTGTTAGACTTCACTTTGAGTTTGTAATCCCTGAATGGAATCCTACTTTGAAAGGTGACATTGAAACACTAGAAATAATCCAACGTCACGCAACCAAACTGGTACAGAATCTCAAACATCTGTGTTATGAGGAGCGACTATCTAAAATGAAATTGACTACGTTGGAGACTAGGCGTTTACTCTGCGATCTAATACAGGAGAACAAATTATTGAACAATATAGATCTTACTACATGGCTTAAACCACAAAAATTTACACCGTCATTATAAGCAAACGGATCAGCATCAGCAATAAGAGGTCATAATCTAAGAATTAAAAAAGAAAATGTCAATCATTCTTTGTCTCGACAAGCATTTTTTAGCAACCGTATTGCGAATGAATGGAATGCATTACCGATTCATTTGGTGAATGCGTAGTCTTTGAACTCTTTTAAATCAAGAGTTGATAAAAAATTTTTGAAATTTATTTAACTCTAATTTTTCTTATATATTAATTTTATTTTTAACAAATTTTAAATTATTATAAGCAAAATAAAGAGTAGTGTAGGCTGTCATAATGCATATATAACCATATATGTGTTTCGCGATTTAATTTGCTACAGTATCTATATTACTATTACTATGTTACTAGTATTATCTTGACTTTATCACCTTC